ATATAGTAATGTTTCTCAACCTACGGTCTCAAGAGCAATTAAACAGGTGACGCATGCTCTCAATTCACCCAGGGTTTTTCGAAAGCATGTAGTTTTCCCAATCACAAGGACACACAGAGAAAGAATAAAACGAAGGTAACCTACCTATAACCTTCTTTACTAATGCCATTAAGTGTAGTAATTGTACTGAATTAATTTGATATTTCTTACAGCTTTTATGAAAAATACCAAATGCCGGGGGTTATTGGTTGCATAGACGGGACTCATGTTGCAATTTTGAGACCCACTGAGCACGAAGAAAGATATTTTAACCGAAAGGGATATCATTCGCTAAATGTCATGATAGTAAGATTTTATTTATCTATATATGTAGTTACTATATTCCTGCGAAATAACGAAATCCAGACAACAAGTATATAATAAAAAAAATCAATCACAAATTACTTGTTTTTAGAGTTACAATGATATCCATCTATAGTGACTATTTGCCCCCCAAGGGAGAAATCATAATGTAGATTTTTGCTCACCACTAATTTAAAAAAATCTATAGTAACTATGCCTACTACCTGTGTATCTATTTATATATATTATTTCAGATTTGTGACATGGATTTAAATATTTTATGTGTGGATCCAAGTCACCCTGGATCAACTCACGATTCCACAGTGTGGGGCGATCATCCATTAAATGAATGGATGAAAGAAAAATACAATGAAGAGACAATGTATTTCCTAGGTAAATATAAAATATACCTATTAAGAAATATTTGTTTTCTTTACTTGTTACCTACATAATTATATATAATTATTGTTTTTTACAGGTGACAGTGGATACCCATTGCGAAAAACTGTAATGACTCCCTACTTAAATGCACCTGAAGGTTCTGCTGAAGCCAACTACAACACTAAGCAGGTTTCAGCCAGAAATGTAGTTGAGCGATGTATAGGTGTATTAAAGGCTCGCTTTAGGTAACTATAATTTTATTTTCTAAAGAATAATAATCTTATTAGTCTAATAATTGATTGAAAATGGGTTTGTTTATTTAATAGTCTTAATTATATTCCTTGAGTTTGTCACTTACTCATAACTTTTTTTTGTCAGATGTTTGCTAGCTGCTCGTAAACTCCACTACAGCCCAGTTGTTGCTGGTAAAATAGTTAACGCATGCGTAGTGCTCCACAATATAACCAACAAAGCCAGGATTGCAGTTCCAGAATTATGTGGAGAAGACCAAATAGAAGAATTACAGCGCCAAATCAACCATAGTGTTGCGGAACAAGAATTTAGGACTACTAATACATTAAATCAAAATGTTGCTGAACACAGTCGCCTTTCTAATATAGAACTTCAACAGGGAAGGATGGCTCAACAAGCTCTTATTCAAAGATTGTGGATAGAGTCAAATAATAGTTAATACTTATTTATCTAAATTATACTGGTATTATACTGATTTCAGTTATCTAAATATTGAGTTTGGCGGTGAAATTTTGAGGTTGAGTTGGACGGTGGCTTTATATTTAATAAAAAAAGCTTATTAGTCTAATTATAAATATAATGTAATCAGTGTAATTAACAATTATGATACTTATTAAATAAAACAGTAGTGTCATTTTGTTTTAAAATACAAAACTGTGGTCATCGTCATCACTGCTCTGAGATCGAGCCCGTTTGTATTCTCTAGTTTCTTGTGTGTCGTCACATTTTCTTTTCTGTAAAGATTCAAAAATGTTTAATTTGCATTAAATATTAATATTATGTTTATAACTGTGTCTTATTTTTAATCCATCATCATCTTAGCGTTAATCTACACTTCGATATTATTCATCGCGGT